GCAAAAAAACTGTTAAGATAGATGTAAGGGTTTTATTACAGGGAAGTAATTTGAACTCCTATTTACTTCACGCAAAAAAAAAAAAAAAAAAATCATTGCTTATCCATTTCAGATGGAAAAGAATACATAAGCCTACAAATCTAGGGAAGTTATTTGAAGTATCTGAAGTTATGTAGTTACTTAGTGGCCAGAACTGGAGTCCAGATTTCCTATCTTTTAATTCTTTCAGTCACAACATGGAGGCTTCAGAGAGGATCTTTGAGGTTATCCGTGGCTGACAAATATGGTTGCAAGCAGAGCTGTTCTTTCCTAGCCTAACCTCATATCTGGCCCGATAACTAGTGTGTGATAGACAAATGGATAGAAAGGCAAATAAATCTTAGGCCAAGTGATAACCTACCCTAAGATTTTGCCTCTTCATCACATAGCTTTTAACAATTCCTATGTGTACTATGTATTCGTTTACTATTTATTCTCAGAAAGGAAGGATCCAGAGATTTAGCCAGGATCCAAAAGAAAGAGGTGCAATAGAAGTGTGGTTAAAATGAAGCACCTTCAGGATGCTAATGATTGGGAAATCATTGAATTGATTTTGCTGTACTTTTGAAACCTTTTAGAACTTTAGAGAAATCTTTCTGCTGAATTTACATGGGCCCCAGCCAATTGCGGGGATTATTGACTTCATCTAGCTCAATTTATTTATATTATAGATGGGAAAACTGAAAACAGTCACGGGGAAATGGATTGCCAGCATTTACCAAACATTTATAAACAGCCTGTTTGGGGGAATGGTGATCCTGGACCTAGAGATATTATTCAGAAGGAAGTTGGGAGGTGAGAGCATTAGGTAACTAACTGGTTGAGGAAGATAAAGAAGAAACTTGTTCACAAGTACAGTTAAGATACTGTAAACTTAAGCATGTAAGTTCCATGCCTAGGTTAGGTAATAAACACTACTGTATGAAGATAATCATAGATCTTTTATTTTTTTGGAAAATTATTTTGAAGTCTGTATTTTAAAAGAGAAAGTACTGCATCCCATAAAGAATCAAGAATTTCTCATAATTCGAGTATAGTACTATTATTAGGATTCTCCAGAAAAACAGAACCAATAGGATACGTGTGTGTGTGTGTGTGGTGTGTGTGTGTGTACACAGATAGATAGATTTATTATAAGGAACTCACTCGCATGGCTTTGGAGGCTGAGAATCCCAAGTTCTGTAGTTGGCAAGCCAGAGACTCAGGAGAGACAGAATGTAGTTCGAGCCCAAATCTAAAAACCTGAGAACCAAGAGACGGTTTAGTCCAAGTCAAAAGGCTGGAAAGGTCTATGTCCCAGTTCAAGGCAGTCAGGCAGAAGGACCTCCCTCTTATTCAGGCTTTTTGTTCCATTCACCTCTTCAGTTGATTCGTTGAGGCCCACTAACATTAGCAGGGGCTGGTGGTGGGGAGCGGCAAACTGCTTTACTCAGCCTAGGGATTCAAATCTTAATCTCATCCAGAAATACCTTCACAGTCACACTCAGAATTAACATTTGACTAACTGTCTGGGTGCCCTGTAACCCAGTCAAATTGACATATAAAATTAACTGTCACAAGTACGCAAAGGCTTAAGATAGAACTGAAATTATTGGAGCTTAAATGTAGAATAATGACAGAAAAACAAGAAATATAATGAAGAGAATGAAGGTATACGGAAAAAAATCTTTGAGTCAGTCAGTCTTTAAAGACCACACTGAAGTCAATACACTGAATTGTCATAGATCCTGGAACAAGAATTGTGGACATTATATTTGAAAAAGATCATGTTAACACTTAATCTAGGGTACATCACCATCTGGAGACACTGAAATTTAGAAAGCAGTAAGCAAAAGCCCCAGAGGCCTACATTCAGATGAATACTGTGGAAGTAGAGAGCAAATTCAAGACCCTGAGCCAATTAAACCAACAAAATCAACAGAAGTTGGTGAAAATAAAATAGAGAAAAAAAAATTGTTCGATTGTTAGTGTCATCGATAGAAATGAGGAATTGAGAAGAGATTTATTTGTGGGCTCAAAGATGTAAAATTTAAAGTGTACCTTTTATGCTCAACCTGCAAATAAAGTATCATAAGATATTTAAAATGCAAACATGATGAGTGTTAATATGCTAGGGGAAATTTTTTTCTTTGAAACAGTTGTTACAAGTATAATATTTTTAATTTACTTTGGAAAATAGAAATAATATTTATCAGAAACAAATCAGTGCTGTAAAAGAGTTCTGTTGTAGAATAATGCTTTTAGCAAAATATTTTACTAAGTTACAAATAAATCTCTATAAAGTTACTATCATCGTACCTTTATCCATATAGTTAAGAAAATTTGTATACCCATTCAACCAGTAATTGGTCTTAAAGGATTCCTCTGCTATGTCAATTCTTGCATATTTTATAAATGCAATTAAATGTCTACTACTTTCATTGTAATAAAAAAATCATAAAATGTACTATCATTTCATGTCGTTTTAGTTACTGCCAGGAATACTTGACTTGCTGCAGTGAATAATGAAGTACAACTTGCATTTATTTTCAGGGATTAAAAAAATTGAGGGGTTTCTTATAATATATTGAAAGAATCACCTTTTTGTTTTTGAACACTGAAGGTATTAGAAATATTTCTTGATATTGGTTTCCTGGTTCTAGTATTGTTTTCACGCTGAGTGCACCGGTCCTGAGCTCAGCCTCCTGTGGAACTGGACTGCCAAGCTGCTAACTTGCTTTTTTCAGCTTACGTCGTTAAAGAGAAGTTTCTTTAGTCTCTTTGGTAATTGTAGGCAAAAGTTCTAGAAGTTAGCCAGTGGGCAATACACACTTTAGTGTGATCACTGTAATTAGTTAAGAAGCTGGCCCTCCTCACTTTGTAGAGAAGAGGAGGTGAGAGGGTGGAGGAGGTGATTTTGGAGTGTGGGACACGTCGGGGCCAGATGGGCTTGCGGTGCAGTAACACAATGATAACTTTCAGCCCTGAGGACTCACTACGTGGGAGTCCAAGGCATACTGGAGAGTGCCAGCAGTGCCAGTGCTAGTGAGGGTACTAGGTTGGGTGAGGGAAATTAGTACATAAGGTAGATGAAAGCTAAAGATAAAGTTTTCCTGCTAATTATGACAACATAACTGTGACATAAATTCCAGATCTCTGCAATAGTTGTGCACTGGTTTCGAAAAGGTGTTTTAAAATGGCTAACTCTTCTATGTGTCTATTTTCCATTTTCTTCTTTTTTTTCCTACTGAACGTGTTTATACACTGACATTTTGCAGAGTGTTATAAATACAGATTATTTGCATGTGTTGTGGATAAACAGTTGATCTATTGGGAAGACAATTTAGGGAGGTATACTTATCCTGGTCCGTCCTTAACATGAGTAAAATTACTTATATCTGTATAGTATTTTAGCGTTTTCAAATCATCACCACCCTCCATTTAAGAAAATAAAAAGTTACTTGACAGTGCGGCCTCCTGGTTCTCTGTGTGCAGACAAATGGATACTGAGCCCATATTCTTCTCCACACTGATTATGTGTATTTTATTCTGTCATAGAAATGTTTTTGTTTGAAAAAACACATGTACACATATTTCCCTGGCATTCTTCGAGTTTTTAGAAAAATATGTTCACATTTTTCCCACTGAAAACTTAGTTTCTTTCTGGGTAGATACATCATCTTTTGAAAAACCTTTCCCCCAAGATTTCTTTTTAAATGGTTCACAGTTAAATTTAAATTTCTATATTTAGGTAGAATTATGTTTATATACCAACCACCAGTATCCAGGAAATTCAGTGGTAAGGCTGACACATAGGGAGTTTATAGTCTATTTTGTAGTCTGTGTATTTAGACAAGGTTTGAAGCTTACTTAGCAAAATCTCTTGACCATTCAGAATTTCTTTAGTACAAATGCACTATTTGATTTCTTATACTTGCTAAGATAACAGTGTGTCATTTTTTAAAGATTAGTTCTTAGGAATATGTGTTAGATTTATTCCTTTCAAAGAAAGATGCATTCAAGAACAGCTTTTATATGTAAATATTTTTATAATATTGGATAGAGTTGGTTTGGTGCAATCACCATGGTTTGATCAAATTTGGAAGAAGTTACAGGCACATTTTTATAGTGTTTTCTCCGGCATCTTTATTTTTTTCAGCTGGATGTATTTTATGTTCCTTCTAACTAATCAAAATAAGAAACTGATTTTGCCTGTGCCAAAAAATAGAACTATCATTTTTCACATTCTTTTATTTTCCAGGTCATTTTCAAGTAAGATTGTGTTTCTAGGACTTCTGAATCCCAGAAAACTCTCAACTTTGTAGATATAAGTGCCCAGATGAACATTTCAGGGGGAATCTAACTTTTCATGCAGTATGTTTTGTGTTGTGCATTCCAGATACAGTTAACTTTTTGTGTGTATGTGATTAGTGTGGAAAGAAATTAATGCAGTCCAGTATTATGATTTATGGACTGAATCCTTTGCCCACTGAAGACTTGCCAAAACTAAAACTATTTTTTTTCCTTTGGATATTAGAAACAGCTACTGTTTTTGTTGATCTTTTAAAGTTCTGAATGGGCCTATTTCAAATCATACCAGCATGGGAGCTCAGATTAATAATATACTTATTCAACTGGTGATACTGAGTGAAACCATTGCTCACATGGATATGAGGATAAGATTTCATAAAATTATTTTCAGGTGCATTAATGCATTTCTGGAAGCTGCATATGATTTTTCTTTTGCATGAAAGAAGTCAAGGATTTCTCTTTATTGTATCAGTTACAGGTAGGCGTATAAGTTAATTTAATTGCATTTTTTTATACCTTAAAACATAAGACATTTTGCTTTCAAAAGCAGTACTGTGATTGCTGGATTATTCCCAAAGGTTTTGAACTCTTAGAATGTTTATCTCTCTTGAGACATCATGACTGTAGTATATTTAATTTAGATTATTGAGAAAAATTTCCTTTGTTGTTAGTTACAGCAAGCTGCTGAAGTTTCTCAGCTTCGGGGAGCAAGGGTAATCTCTGCTGAAGATCTTCTGTTTTTGATACGCAAAGATAAGGTAATATAAAATAATTTCATCATATTGAAATGCCAAGCTTGGTGATTAATTACACTTATGTAAGGAAGCTACCCTTGTTTTATAGCTTTCACATTGGAATCATAACTGTTGAACTAATATTTGAGTCCTCATAGTTTGCATAACAAAATGGTTTACTGCAAAAGAATTTATATTTTATTTTTACATGGACAAGGGCACTTACGTAAAAGTATGCTGACAACTAATTCTCACTTATCCTTAAATATATATTTAGACATTTTCATTGCTACATACTGTTCACTAGATATTGACCAGGTGCTTTGTTTTGGTAACTGGGATATAACTAAGTGGCATATTTATTTTTTTCTAATTTTACACAGGCTTTCATAGAATAGTTTTTTCACTTGAAATACAAAGTTTTTTCTGTGACACTGGTTAAAAGGAAAAAAGCAAATCAATCAAGATGAATATTGTATAAGATAAATATACACCATAATATCTAGGTTTTTTAATAGTTAAAGATCTATAATTTCTTACTCTTTGAACTCTGGCATTAAAATATTTATGCTGGTATTTACATGTATAATTTTGTCATAACTATCTTCCAAGAGTAGCTAGTTTGAAAATATTTTGTGACATTTTGCATGTTTTTAATAAAATTTTCATCTGAAAGTTACATGTGGAAAAACTAACTGAATAACCACAGCGTGTTATGGTAGACTCTAACCCAAGTGAGCACGCAGTGCTTAGTTCCTAATGTTCCATCTTTCATTTCTCCATTGTTTTCCCCTGGCATTTTAATTACATTTACCCAGTTTTGTATGTTTGTGGCTCTGGTTTCTATCAGAAGGCATCCCATCTGACCTTGTGGATATCCTGGTCAACATTCTTTCTGTGATACCCAGTTACTTTATATCTGTGAAAGCTTTCCTTCTGACTGACTGAAGATTGACTAAACTTGGATGACTAAACTTCTGTTCCTTCTCAGTGGGATTCAGAGATCTACAAACTGCACCTCGACCAGTCTACCATTAAATTTTATAAATTTTTAGCTCACTAACTCTTATATGGTATGAGGACTATAAAGAGAAAAGAAATGTATTCACTATCAAGAAGCTATAATCTGGTTTAGGAAATCTGTATGATTTAGTTGAAGAAGCATTTTGAGACACAGCATGTGAAGGTTGTGTGATTAGATTGGAGAGGCTGTAGGATTTGTTGAAGTGGAGGTTTCTGCCTAGGGTGAGATTCATGCAGCTATAGGCAGCTATATGTAGAATGGAACTAACCAGGACGCAGGCTCAGTAATCAAAGCAAACTGTGATCAGTATGATGGCTCTGAAAGTGGATGGGAAGGAAGAATTCAGAGAGATGGTGAAGAGTAAGAATGCTCAGGATTTAGTGACTTCATTAGGAAGACAGGGAAGTAGGCACCATATAGCAGTGGTGCTGTGAGGAAAGAGCCTGAAGGTGCCGTTGGCAGGAACAGGGACCTTGAGCCAAGATCCTTTACGAAGGCAGCTGGAGGGCAGTGGAATTCGCATCAGTACTTTACAGAATATGTCCAGTCAGTTTTTCTTTTCCATCGACAGAGGTAAACAAGCCAGCACAAAAAATAGTCCACATTGGCACTTTTTCCTGCCTTTCGGGGAAGTCAAAGTTTTAAATCCTATGGAAACTTCAGGAATACACACTGATTGTCAAAACCCTTCTATTGTCTAGAAGGGCTGTTAATCAGAACCTTTTTAGCAACCAAGAGCCTAGCTGTAATATGATAGTTGCCAGTATTCTCATCTTTCTCCTCAAAATAATAATTTTATTTATATGCTGGTGTGTTCCAAACAGAGTTTAAAGTAGTTTACATGACTGTAATATAAGACAAAATAAAATCTAAAGTACTGAATTTTCAGGAATCAGGGGAAAGAGAAAAAAAGGATAGCAAACACCTATATACAGGTATATATGCTTTTTCTCTTAATAATTCTGGTTTATATTCAAGCATAAGTCATTGACTGCCCATTGTGTTTTCCATACTCTGCACTAGGCAGCTTCACTCATTTTCTCATTTATTCCTCACAATAGTCCTCTGAGGTAAGTACTTTACTTACTTTGTAAATAGGGAAACTGGGGTTCAGAGGTCATGTTCTACTTCTGGTCCTGCTATAAGCTCCAGTTGTGAGACTATCTTTAACCTCGGTTTCCCTATATATAAAAAGGAGATGATTATATTTGTCTGTATCTCAGGGCTATTGAAAATTTCAAATAGAATGCATGTAAAAGAGCTTTGTAAGATACAATTTATTTCAGCTGTCATTAGGAATCTTAAACATGAAGACCAGGAACCAGTAATAATCCATATTCTAAGTGTCAGCATACAACAGAGGACAGAGTGTTATCAGGTACTTTTAAAGTCAAACAGTATTACAGTCTTCGAATAAACCTAAAGAAAGCCATCATTAAGACTCAACCATCATTCATCAGCTTTGAGTTTCATAAAAATATGTTTCTCAGATTACAGAATGGTTTCCAGAAATATAAAACATAAACCAGCTCTTCTAAAGAAAAGAAAAGATTCTCAGAGAATAAAGAAAACAATAAAAAGGAGAGTGCTTGGCTTTTTAAAGCAGTTGTTAACAAACTCCTTGTCTAGCTGGTTGTAAATCATTTAAAAAAATTAAATTTGGTTCTGAATGTGTACAAAATTCCATAAAGTCAGTTTTTGCAGCATAGTGTGGAAAGTTTATCACAATCTTCAGAAGGAATTTAACCCAAAAAACCCAAATAACAAAAATCATTGTGATTCTGGAGTATCTGGATACTTGCAAATGAAAAGTGCTTTTAAAAATGCTAGTGTTGGGGCTTCCCTGGTGGCGCAGTGGTTGAGAGTCCGCCTGCCGATGCAGGGGACGCGGGTTCGTGCCCCGGTCCGGGAAGATCCCACGTGCCGCGGAGCGGCTAGGCTCGTGAGCCATGGCCGCTGAGCCTGCGCGCCCGGACCCTGTGCTCCGCAACGAGAGAGGCCACAACAGTGAGAGGCCCGCGTACCGCAAAAAAAAAAAAAAAAAAATGCTAGTGTTGTAGGTTTTATGTTTAATTTGACGACTAAATTTTGTATTCACAGTACTATGCTGAGAATTGCTATATCCCCCCCCAGTGATCCTGGGGTACACGTTATTAAATTTAGTTTTCATAATAGTCTTTAATCAATAAAGCGAACGTGTGTGTAAGGTTTTTTATTTACTTATTTCATATTTTTAATAGAAAAAACTTAGAAGACTGCTAAAATACATGTTTTTCCGAGACTACAAATCAAAGATTGTCAAAGGCATCGACGAGGATGATCTTCTGGAAGGTAACTTAAAGCACTAAACTAAAACCAGTACAACGCATGTGTGCTGATGACACATTTATACAATGTCAATGTAGATATTCCCATCAGAGCAGAATATATGTACTTCTGTTAAATACTGTAGTTTAGAAACTGTGCAGATATTTATATAGTTGGCAGTTAAATCTTGTATTTTCCAATTATGTGACTTCGGAGTAATCTGGTATTTTAATTCTTTTTTTAATAAAATGACCTGCTTTACACCGGAATGTCATGAAACTAAGAAAATTGTGTTGATTTAAAACATAATTGATTTTAGCAAGCATCATTTTTCTGTCCTGAATGGAGGGAGCCAGAACTATTATTTTATTTTATTTTATTTTATTTGAAATTGGCATGTATGGTTTTTTGTTAATTTATTATAGAAAATATCTGATATGTTTTATAATGTAAAGTCACCTCATTTTAATGTGTTATTTCTGTGCTGTTTGAAATCTAACAAAAAGTCTGGCACAGAGTGGGAAATTTTCCTTAGCTGATTTTCCAACTCAATTCCCCATTTTAGGATATTTAAAGAAAATATTTATGTTGCAAAATCAAATAGTGATAAGCTGAAAATAGATAATTATTAAATAATACTTATGAATCAAAATAAATATGTTGTATTTTTGAAGTAATTCATCTGTTTTGTATTGAATATAGTCAGTGCATGGTAGTATCCTTTGCTGGTAGATACACTGCTAAAGTAGCTAAACAAACTCTACTGTATTCAGAAGAGTCCAGAAAATTGCTCAAAACCAACTGAATCAAAAAAAAAACCCAGAAAACAAAAACCAACTGAAGAGTTAACAAACTTTGAAAGAGAACCAGTTACTTTCATTGATCCTTAATAAGTCAGCAAGTGTAATGGTCATGCCAAAAAAAATTCTGATCAAATGTCTAATCAGTGTTGTCTATTTAATAATATTCCTGCAGTTCTCACAGAATTTAACTCCAAATGAATTTAATGCTTCCCTTTATGGAGAGCATAAAGAATATAGACTTGGAGCAAAACAGACCTAAATTCCTATTAATCCCAGTTCTCTGCTTTCTTTCTGTGTGTCCTTGAGGGTCAGTTTTCTCATTCATAAGTCATAAGTTATACTACTGACCATGACAGTTCAACGTAATGTATGAGAAGCGCCACTGAATAAGGGATAGCTGTTAACACTATGCTTCGAATACCAAGAAGCTCAGAGTAGTGAGACTAGTATTCAGTTTTACTAACACAGTCACATCAGTTTGATGCCCTCTCCTCCTTATTTATTTCAAACCTCTCCTCTTTATCATTTAAATTTTCTAATCTTGTGTGGCTCATGTAAAGTTTTAAAATACAGTTGACCCTTGAACAATGCAGGGGTTAGGGGTGCCAACTGTCTGAACAGTCAGATCTGCCTGTAACTTTACAGTTGGCCCTCCACGTATGCGGTTCCACGTCCCCAGATTCAACCAACCTCATAGAGTCACGCACTGCAGTATGTATTTAATGAAAAAATTCATGTGTAAGTGGATACACGCGGTTCCAACCTGTGTTCTTCAGGAATTCACCGTAGTTGATATAATTTGTAAGGTAAAATACTCAGGTAAAATACATCTAATACTGAGATGGGAGTTCTAGAGTGGCCTTGTGAGGAACATGGTAGACTCTTTTCCCAGTGAAACACATTTAACTGGTGAACATTTTTAAAGTAATAGTTTAAAATCTTTAGAAATTGTCCTAAGGGCAGACAGCAAATGGAGGAACATATTCAAAAAAAATCTACTAAATCTCATTAAGAACAGTGAGAGTCTGTTGTGTTTGAGCCACAATATACTCCCCTCATTTCTCTCCTCCTCTCCCACCCTGCTGCCCCAGATCAAAATGATAGACGCTTTACTCTGGGCAAATGTGTCCAAGAACCATGGGCACCTGCTTCTGTACCTCCCAATCTAGGGTGACAGGTTCACCCCAAGACGGGCAGGAGATCAGCATCTCTCATCTCCTTCATCTCTGTGTTGCAGAACCTCTGTGCTAGGCAAGCACAGCTAAAAGGACTGGGCCTTCCTCTCATCTTCTAGTCATAGGGAAGCTCTACCCCAGATGGACCCTGCTTGCCGCATCCTGGCTTGCTCACAGGGAGTAAGCTTCACTCCAGAAGAGACAAGGCTTGAAACCAAGGGGCTACCATCTCTGTCCAGATCCTCACTCTTAGATCCAGGAGAGTCTTTCAGGGAGAAGCTGCTTGCTACTCCCAACCCCAGCTCTAGTAAGAAGTACAAAGATTCAGCCTGTAAGAGAGAGCCAGCCCTTAATATCAGAGAGCTCTGCAGCTCTCCCTATAAGGACTGACTGTTTGGAAAAGAGCATTTGAAGTTCATGGCTAAGGGTGTTTTAAAACAATGGAGATCCTGGTGGTGAGGAATTAAGGGGAAGCTGGTCCCTATGTGATACTAGTAACAACAAACAAAACAGTGCACCAGCTAAAAGTTTAACAAAGGAAAGAGGTAGCTAAAAAGAGTCTTCCTGGGGTCAGAGCAAAACTTAAAGGCTGGCCAACCTTGACTCTGCAGAGTGACTTGAAATTATTTAGATCAATCTGTGGAGCAATTTATGCCCAAGAGTATTATCAAAACAATAGAACTGTCAGCCAGCAGTTAGTGGAAGATAACAGCTGTGTATCATACCAATAGAGTCACACCAGCCAGAAACTTAGTGGAGAGATCAGGAAAAGTGACAGGTAAAGAGAACTTGACTAAAACCACAGTCATCCCTGGTGATTGAGGAGACTGTTCACATGCTCAAGGCTGTGCCCTCTGAGGAGCAACATCCAAGGCTGCACACCGAGAGGGGAAGAGACCTTAATGAGTTAGCCCAGCCAAGTCACTAAACAAATAAACAACCAACCAAGCAAACAATAACAACAAGCCCCAGGAAGGAGAGGGAATTATTATCTAGAGTTGCTCCAATATATTACCTAAAATGTCCATTTTCAACAACAACAAAATACTAGACGTTCAAAGAAACAGATATGTATGATCCATAAAAACAGGAAGAATAAGCAAGACAGCACAAACTGCCTTCGCGGGGGTCCAGATGTGAGGCTTAGCAGACAAAAGCTTTAAATAGCTATTATAAATGGTGTTCAAAGAACTAAAAGAAACCATGTGTAAATAACAAAAGGAAGGTATGGTTACTGTGTCTCACAAAATAGAGAATATCAATTAAGAGATAGAAATTATAGAAACAAGTGGAAATTCTGGGGTTGAAAAGTACAATGACTGACATGAAGAATTCAGTAGAGGGGCTCAATAGTAACTTTGAACTGACAGAAGGAAGAATCAGTGAACTTGAAGACAGACTGTTAAAGATTATACAGTCTAAAGAACAAATAGAAAAGAGAATGAAGAAAAATTAATAGTGCTTCAGAAAAATATGAGACACCATTGAGTGAGCCAGCGTATGCATCGTTATTTCCTTTCCTACAGAAGGGAAGGAAAGAAGAAAAAGGAGCAGAAAAAATATTCAAGGAAATAACGATGGAAAACTTCTCAACTTTGGTGAAAATTATTAATCACGTCCAAACAGCTCAGCAAGCTCCAAGGAGGATAAACGTATAGCGATCCATACTCAGACACATTCTGGTAGAAATGCTGCAAGACAAAGACAAAAAGAAAATCGTGAAAGGCAAGAGAAAATCACCTCATCAAATACAGTGGAACCTCAACAATATTAACAGCCGACTTCTCATTAACAACACAGGTCAGATAGCAGTGGGACGACGTATTCCAAAGGCTGAAAAGAAAAACTGTCAACAACAAATATGTCAAGAAACATGTTCAGCAAAACTGTGTTTCAAAAATGAAGGCAAAATAAAGATATTCTCAGATACACAAAAACTGGAGAACTTTTTTGCTAGCAGTCCCATATAAAAAATACTAAAGGAAGTTATTCTGGCTGAAAGCAAGTTGTACCAGATAATAATTTGAATCCACACCTACACACCACACACACACACACACACACACACACACACACACACACACACACACACACACACCAAAGAGTATCTATAAAGGTAATTATGTAGGTAAATATAAGAGAATATAGAATTGTGTTATTTATTTTCCTTTCTTCTCTTAATAGATGTGAAAGCAACTGTATAGAACAAGATATATAATTGTAATATTGTGTCTATAATATATAGATGTATAATATATTTGATAGTAGCAACATAATTGAGGTGGGTGGTAACAAAGCTGTATTGGAGTAAGGAGTGACAGGTTTTTTTTTCACCCTAAGATGTTTGGGTTGTCTTTATTTGGTATAGGAGCACATAATTTGTCACATTAAAAAATAATCTAGCTCTTCCTCACTAATTCACAGATACTTTTGTGTATTAAACTGTATTAATTACCTTTTGCAATATTACATTCCTTCCTGACTTCTTGCAGTAACTTTCTCAGAGTTATGTTTTGCTTTTAAATAAGTATGGTAGTTTTATCTCTCATGAGAAAAAGAGTAAGATCTCATCCCATAGGTTTCAAATATATTGCCACAGTAGTGTACCTAGTATTTTCTTCTTTTAATTTCACGTCTCAATCCTGATGTTTTTTATTTGTCTTTGTTTTTATTTATTTTCTTAATTAGGCTTTCTGTAGCAGGATTCTTTTTCCGAATCTGAGAGCCTTTCCTTTTTTTTTTTTTTTTGTAAGGAATTTTAATCCATTCACACTTGTTTTGCTAATTGATCATTTGGTTTTATTCTCTCAATCTTATTCATGACATAAATAGATGATTTAATTCTGCATGACTTATGCTTTTGTTTTGGATGCAAGGATTCTCCTTATGAAAATTATTATGAGAGAATTCCAGTTCTGAATTTTATATTCAGTATTCAATACATATGATTGCGGCTGATGTAAACCTATTTAAGAACATTTCTTTTTTCCTTCCCTTATCTTCATGAAGACAAATTGAGTGGCAGTAATAATGCGAACAAAAGACAAAAAATCGCTCAAGACTTTCTCAACTCTATTGACCAAACAGGAGAACTCTTGGCAATGTTTGAAGATGATGAAATTGATGAAGTTAAACAAGAAAGAATGGAGGTATAGTACATGCTTCCCTTTTTAGGGTAATAGAATAACTGCAGTGCATATACTATTTGGTTCTATTCTTATGTTCTTTAAATGTGGTCTGAAATGTCCAAATCAGTGGTTTCATGTCTGAAGGCAGCATTGTGTAGTGGAGTAACCCTGGAAAGGATGTTAAACTCTGCCTTCATAGCTGACTTTGGGAAGCAACTTCAGTTTTCTGTTTCTTTGTTTCCTCCTTTGAATATGAGTAGGTTTCCCTAAGCTTTCTTCTGGATCTTACTTTTACTGATACTCTTTTATTCCATAAAAGCTAGTTTAAAATTAAATATTTACTTAGTTTTTGTACCAAACCATCCAGTTATCTTTGTGGGCAAAGGTAATCCTTACTGCTTTTGTGTTGGCATATAGTGTGAAGAGCTATTTTTCCAGCTGTAGTTGCAGCCTCTGGTTGGGCTCACCAGATAAGGTAGGATCCAGGGCAATTCCATGCTTTATGTCACTGTAAAACACAGTTAGTGACATGTGTTTGGATCCCCTGGGTATGTTTTAACAATGAATATGAAAATTGTATGCCTTCTATTTACCCTAGCTTTCTATTCATAAAATGGTTTTCTTAAATACTTGTGGAAAAATAAAAGTAGTGATTGATTTCATCTGAGTGCCTTCTAAAATATAAGGCATTATTCTTATCATTCTTATTCTTATAATACTTTTACATGTAAAAAAAAATACATCTCCATTTTTCCCCTTCTCTTTAAATTGGTCAAGAGAGGTAATTCCAGAGCTCCGAAAGATCGTGCTAAGTGCTGACTTTATCATAGTCTCCGTGCATGCTAAAAATATAATTATTTCATGTTAAATTTTGGAGGAAGTCCAATAGACATATATGCTTTATAAAATTTAACCACCTTCTTTAAAGAATTAGTATGCTTAGATCATGAACTGTGATCTAAAGGCAATGTTCTTCTTAGGTATCAATTACCTTAGAAATGTGTGGTTATCTTGGTTTGAGGCAACTGCAAATGATTTTAGTTCGCCCTGGGCCAAAAACATGCTAAGTTGTCCAAAGCAGATGATAAACATGTATTTCTGATGTCATTATGGACTAAACAGGATATGATTGTTTCGTGGCATGGTTTCACTTATGATGCATTACACAGAGAGCAAATATTGTTTATGCTTTATTTTTTAAACATTTTTATATTATACAAACGGGCATTAAGAAAAATTTGTTAAGGAAGGACTCTACAGAAAACATTAGTAAAATTGAACAAGTAGCTTTTCAGTTTTGACAGGAAGATCTCTGTCAACCAAGCCTGTTGCCCGGAAGGGCATTTCACAGTCAAGGAGAAGAGAAGAAATGGAGCATGTTGTAACACTGAGCTCATAATAGCAGGCTACTGTAGGCCTGGAAGAGTGATGAGCCAGTAAGGTACAAGTTCAAGTAAATAAAATATTTGGAAGTGCAGGATAGAAAAAGCTTGGGAGCTTATATTGTATATTACATAGTGGTAACCAGGATAATAAAATATCAATAGTTGATAAAAATAGTTACAAGAAAGTCAGCTTCACCTATACAATAAAATTAGATTGGCAGTTTCTCTAAGCTTTGTATCATAACTAAAATCTCTAACCAAGATAACAAAGAGTAGTTTTGAGATTCTGTTCATCCAAATAACAGAGTTTAAACTGGATAAAAAAAATGCTGAACTTGTAGACATAACTATAGACAGTAAAAAGTGGAACCGTTAAGAGCATAGGCCTTGCCTGCTTCTAATTTGACAGGTTATAGTTTCAAGCGTAAACCACAACTGTGGCAGTCCATATGAAACCACTTTGGACTCACAGACTGCAATCCCTTGCTTTTAAAGTGCAGTAGAATAATCAGTCCTGGCATCACTCAGTGATTTAATTTTCCTCTAAGCATCACTTACAGTTGTAGAAACTTTGTTTACTACCTTCTCCCCTAGAATGTATGAAAATGGTATAGACCTACCAACAAAGCTTGTTATTGGTTTTTTTTTCTTTTTTCTTTTTTTTATTTAAATGTAATTTAGAAGAGAAAAAAATTTATAGACACAAGCTCACTTGGGACCCTAGATTTTTCTCAAAATATTGAGCAAGCATATGAAAAACTGAGTTCTTTCCCATTGTTTTCAGCTGATTTCTGTGTGTGCCTGGCTTTGTGTTTTACTCATAATTTACTTCATTAAGTATTATGTGATTTGAAATATAAAAAATGTCTGAATTTTTATATCCATTTCTACTTGCTAGTCCATTATCATATTGAGTTAACTAACGCTTACCCCATTTATTTTTCTCCAGCACCAAATTTTTAACACTTTGGTGTGTGTGTAGTAGAGATCTGTGATCCATGACCTCTGAAGACCCTTCTAAATTATCAAGTAAAGATTAAATAATGTTCAGAATTGCTTTAGTGTATTTGAGGGACTGGGAAAGAGAAGCAGGGAAATGATAAGCATAATACATATAAATACTCACAGCTCCCCTCCAGCCACCCCTAAACCCACCCCAGGATGACCCACGTGTGTTTGGCTGTTGATCCTGTTTCTCACATTCTAAGTTTTTGAGATCTAATCAACTAAATGTGACTGTGTCAACCAAAGGCCAAGGAAGGGTCACTACAGCCTGCAGATAGCTTTGTGTTTTCTTACCAGAGGACCTGTGGTCACTCACAGAAGAGCTTGCCTAAAACCCCACTGCTCTACTGTGAAGGAACTTGGAGAAGCTCAAGTTTGTCATTCATCAAGTAAAATATCTGGTCTACTGAAGTGCTAGGTTTTGTGAATGTAAATAAGGAACGCCTAAAAAATTGGGTGAGCTCTCTACCTTCTGACTAACCCTCAAACTGGTAAAATAAACAGGAGAACAAAGATGAGAGCTCACCAAAGAGCAGCCTTTAAACAGCGTAGGGTGCCGAAAATCCCCAGTGACTGTTTATCTTCTGTTTTTAAGTTAGAGGCCTAACCCTGGAATCTAGAGAAAAAGCAGAATGGAATACATAAAATGTAAGGCAGCCTAAAAATTGTTTAATTGACTGAAAGTTGAGTAGGATCCCAGGTGGTCATCTGAATTTAACCTGAAGTGACTAGTCATAGATTTTTCAATACAGAGTTTCTCATAAAGGTTCAATGATCACAGAAATCAGGTATACCATTCAGTTATGCTCCAAGTGTAATTAGCTTATGATCCCCGTGCGTTTTGAGTCCTAGTGTTAGAGTTCTGGGAGCGAAGTAGACTGGAAACCTCGTTGAGAGGTGGCTGTGGCTATAGAGGGTCTCCATCTTCTCCTGTTTATGAAATGTGATAGCTCAACACTTCCCCTCTTCCATCTGTCATGGTTTTTATAGTTATAAAGTAAAGTAAAATAAAATGCCTTCAAGACTGAGTTGAAATATAATATCTTAGATAAGATTTATCATAAAAAGGCTAATCCCAATAAGATAAATTTTACAGATACCAAAACAATTGAAAAGATTGAGTCAAAAAACTGAAACCCAGGACAAAGTTTAAAATATACATATATATGGGATTAAGAAATGAAGAATTTATATACTAGAGAGATATAGTTTATATACATACATACATTCATGATATATGTAAATATGCATATATATTTACACACATGCATGTACTATGCCTACATGTGTGTATGTATGTATCTTCCAAAACCCCTCCCACCCACAGCAGCTGATAGGATGACATGCCCTCATTGGCTTAGCCTAAGTCATTTGCTCCATCTCCAAAGAGGGTACAGCTAACCTCTGTAAAAGCATGGATCCCTGAAGCTTTCGGAAGAAAGAATGGATGTTGGAAAGGCAGCCACGAAGGTTCTTAAGTGTAAAGTACCTCTGTGTTATGTGTAAGAATTGAGAGTGGTGCATCACAGTCTTGACTCTCTGCTCAGATCTCTGGGAAGTTTTCCCTAAGAGACAGCATGTTAGAATGAGTGGAAATCATTTTCTTTGGATTCAGGCAAACCATCCATCCATCCTTTCACTCTTTCATTCATTCAGCATTTATTAGAGCTTCTTTTGTAAATCAGTCACTATTTCTAGGTCCTGAGGTTATGACTATAAAAAAAACAAAATATGGTTTCTGCCCTCACAATCCTTTAGTAGTAACTGGCAAATCAAAAGGTAACTAAGTACTCTGGTGAGGGGAATACAAGCCCAATAAATGGTTGCCATTTTTATTATTATTACTCTATTTGATCTTGAATTTTGAACCCTCTAGGTGGGTTATTGGTTGTGTGATGGAGCCATGTATATTCTATTTCACTTGCTATTTTATTTGAAATTTTGTTTATCCTGAAGTAAAGCACATTACATCTTCAAGAAATTTTTTATCATTAACTTCAGACAGGTCCATAGAATTAACTTCAGTGTGGTTTGCTGAAGAGGGCACAGAACAGAAAAATGAGAAGTAGGCTCCATTTTAAAACATGAAATAGTGTAATATGTCAGGATTCGTTTCTGAAAGAGATTCAAGAGAACACATCAGTATGTCTTTTATTCTTTTGAAAGTAACTTCTGTTCAGATAATTTAAAAATACTCTATGAAATCATTCTTCAGGGAATATTAATAGAAATACCACCCAAAGCCTTTGGTAATTCTAGCTACACAGAGCAGAATTAATGTAATTTAGTATATGTTTTTCTGGCCTAGAAACTGCAGAACAGGGAGTATTACATGACTTTAGGAGAACCCAAAGTTTGGTGTAATGTGTAGCTCTGAAACTGATTTCCAACTCTATCAAACTTCTTTTTATCCACACCTTCTGATTATGTAATGGTAGAGATCGGTATATTCGTTGCCATAAAACATCTGGAGAAGACATTTTTCAATTAATGACATGAAAAGTAAGTTACAGATCTTATAAAAATAGAGCACTCCCCAGCTCTTACCCAGGTACTTATCGTTCTGTAGCTTAACACATCAGATTTGACAGATGGTTCTCAAGGGATTCTTTTAGGCTTTTCTTAACCACG